CCTCAAATTAAGCTAATACCTATTTAAGATCTAACCCACGGAGATCAGACTTCACTTTTGATGCAAACATCATTCGATAATTTATGATTTAATACATAAAATTACGAGATTTTTATTAATTTGTTTTTTATACAATTTAGAATGGCAAACAAGCCGACGGCCCACCTGATGAAAAGTGGTAATCGTCACCTATAGACATGAGCAGTACCATGAACATAACAGAGTATACAGTTTCGCCCATGATACCCCCCACGCGTTGCCATTCCTGAGGACTCAGGTGTTATTCCTCTGTAACCTGTAAATTCACGTCTATCTATTTATATAACACGACGTTTTAACTCGTAACTTTGTCGTGATTGGGAAATATTGATTGACCGCGGTAAAAAGTTGTCTATGTCCTTTTCCATCAGAAATACCAGTATATAAATTTTATGATGATCGGTTAAAGATTTAATCGAATAAATTTGTGTTCCATAAAAAAGAAAACTATTTAGATTGTGGCAAAACCATTCCCTTTGATTTCAGTTTAGTTTTAAACTACTGAATTAATTTTAATAAAATTTCTGTGAATTCAATCTGTAAGTATATCCTTTCAGATAAAAGACAGAACTTTCCAAAATTCTCCCAAAGTTATGAGATAGAGAACATAAAATGAAATACAACCAAATTGAGAAGCAAAAAGAAAGGAGGTTTCTGAAATCGGTGGATTAAAGTTCCTTCATCGCCTCTTACGATTCCCCAAAAGAATGGCCCAGTCTACGCAAGGACGTATTGTCCTACTAGGACTAGGAAATTCCAGGATACGGAGGTACAACACCTTTATCCTCAAGAATGGGAGCACAGGGTAAAATCATGAATATACCAGATTTTTCTGTAACATCCATAATACTGTTCATGTCTGTAAGTAATGATCATCACTTTTAATCACACGAACTTGTCATTTAATCAGTCATCAAGAAAAAAAAAACAGAATTCTTTACCAATTGTACAGTATTGAATTTAACAAAAATCCTTAATTAACCATCGCGCACTCGGAGGTCACCTCGCTGCTCCTGCCGTCTCATTATATATTTATTCACTGTGAAATCTCATTAACGTCAAAGTGTTTTTCAAGGAATGCTAAAATATATTTCTTTTCCATCTGAAGTTCAAGGCGAGCTGATGTCCCGAACAAACGGCGCCGCCAGATCAAAGGAGCTGCGGAAAAATACTTAATCAAATTACTACACAGACGAGTGGGGGAAATTAAAAAAGGAGGCACTAAGAGGACGTTTCGTTTCCTGATAATCTGCGAGCGACATATTTCCTCTGTGAAAGAGAGCTTTAATCTAACTGCTCTTTGACTAAAAGTTTTTGATACCGTTGCGTTTAGCCGCAATGATGTTTAAATGTCACGATTTTTATGAGTCGAAATCTATTGATTCTATTTTTGTTTCATTAATTTCGTAAGGATTATATATAAAAATTGTTAAATCAATAATTAATTAGTTGATTTATCTAAAAAATCCTATCATGTAATGTAAACTTGATGAATTACATGTAACAATATTGTATCCCTATCAATCTTTAGAACCCGCACTAATATCTTATATAATATTATATTATATAATATATTTATATAATATAGATATATAATATAATATAGAATGAGTCAATCAATATTTTTATTTAGTTTATTTTGCTGGTTTCCTCTCTTTTCGTTTATGTTATTTTATGTTTAGGTACTGATACAAACCTGAGATGTGATTTGATACACCAAAGGTTTGTGTCAGGGAGTAAAGTAAATATGTTTCGCGTAAAATAAACCTTTATTGAAATATATTAATTATAGATCCTTATAATTATGCCAATTCTACCATCAATTCAAAAAGTAGATTCAGTCGAGAAGTACTAGTAAGAAATTAGAATGTTACTTTTTATGTTGTAATAGCATATCTGCAATTTGTGTGAGATGTTCCGATCAACAAATTTTGGCGATCGAATCGACATTCAATAGTTCTACAAAATGATTGAATCAGAAAGATTCTGTCCGTTTTAGTATCAGAATCGATAGTAACACATTTTTAGCCGACCTTAAAAAGAAGAAGATTCTGAATTCAGTTATGTTTTTAACCTCATAACTCTGTCAGTTCTCAACCGATTTCAAAAATTCTTTTTTTATCTGAAATGATATATATACAGATTGGTCCCATAGAAATTTTATCAAAATCGTTTCAATAGTTTGGTTTTTAAATCAAAATAACTAGTTTTGAAGTTGGTTTTTTTTTTTGAGTGACAATTTTTATATCAGAACTAAAGATGTTTGCAAAATTATAGCAAAATCGATTAATTTGTAAGATTTGACCGAAAGAAACTAACAGATATTCATATTACATAGAACCACATTAATTTATATACATCACGATACAAAAATAATGTAGAATTGTTATTGTAATACTAATAATTACACACCTGAGTCCTCAGGAATGGCAACGCATGGGGGGTATCATGGGCGAAACAGTATACCCTGTTATGTCCATGGTACTGCTCATGTCTATAGGCGACGGTTACCAATTTCCATCAGGTGGGACGTCAGCTTGTTTGCCATTCTAAGTTGTATAAAAAAAAATTGCTAGTAATAATAAATTTGATACATTGCATTTTTACTCCGCCACACATAAATTATATAAAAATTTTTGTGATATCGTATCGTAATCGTGTCGTGATGTGTAAACGATCGTTAAAAGTTCCACAGAAATATTGGTTATTGCTTCCAAGAGTCACACCGCTGTGGGATTCCGCTGGCTGAATTAAAATACGACTGTGCGACATTTTGAAATGCTGATGACTTTTTCGATGTTTCTTTATGGTCGAGCAAATTTCTGATCATCATTATTTTATCATTTTTCTACTGATTAATATATATATATATATATATATCTTGCTATTCATGATTATTGATTACCACGTTCCATCAGGCCAGCCGACAGCTTGTTTGTCATTCTAAGTTGCATAAAAGAAAACTCAATATCATCTACACCTTTGAGGAATTTTCAATTACCCAAACATTTTGTTCAAGCATAGTCTTCTGTGCCGTGTGCGTTTTTTTTAATGGCTGATAAAGGAATGGTAACCCCCCCTGCGCTATCGGTATACATCAGCGGGGCACCAGTGAGGGATGATAGGTGAGGATGAAGTAGGTCAGTTGACCTATCGTGACTAACAATAAACCAATCACAATAGTTTCCAAGAGAAATCGCGTGGGGGTCGACCTGATAGGGTATATTGCTAGCAATGGGATTCTTAATTCCCATAACCACCAATTCCCTCTTCTCCCCCATCTGTGCCGTGTGGTCTCGGCATAGAATGTACCACCCACCTTTCACTCCAGTGGGTATGGTAAGAGGCGACTAAAGGAACTTAGTGGTCGAGAAATGGGCATCAACATCTCTCTTAAAATATCACCGAAGTCTAACTGAAATAGAAGCTACAGGCAAAACCCCCCTATAGGGGAGGTTTTTTTTTATACAACTTAGAATGGCAAACAAGCTGACGGCCCACCTGATTGAAAGTGGTAACCGTCGCCTATAGACATGAGCAGTACCATGGACATACCAGAGTATACTGTTTCGCCCATGATACCCCCCATGCGTTGCCATTCCTGAGGACTCAGGTGTTATTCCTCTGTACCCAGTAAATTCACGCCATATCTCAAACCGAAACACAGCTATGCAAACACAATTGCTTCACGGTAGAAACACGAATGGGGCAGAGGTACCTAAGCAATTGACTTTTGTACAAAGTCTCCCTCTGGTCTGCTCAGGATTGGACAGTTAACGACTGAAATGGTGATGATGACAGTGATGATAATAGCATTAAAACAAAGATCTTAAAACAATTCGCAGATTTCAAAGGATATCACCTTGAGGTACATTTTAGTCCTCCGTTATCCCAATTTGCCCCGAAGCGCTGGCAAGTATTATTACAAGAAAATTTCACATTTATATGTAAATTTTCTTAAAGCGAACATTCTGTTTTAATCGGATGGCTAAAGAATTAAGATTGATGTTTTAATTGTATACTTCAATCAATCGTGATTTTAATTAATATTCAATAACGGTAAAATATTTAACGCTTCGGCTTATAAATTTTGTCCTGGAGCGAATTCGGGGTGTATTGTTTGACAGGCATAAAAAGTGGCCAGTATATTTTATTGAGCTAGTTGTTATTTTGCAAAAGTCCATATCACTAATTAGGAATTATTTTGTATTATTCATTACACGAGCAATGCCTGAAGATGCCATGTTTAGAGGTGGAACATACAATGTGCGTGAACTGAACAGCGGTCGGAGAGTGATAGGTAATATGGAAGGATATTCCGGTGTGGCCCCGAATAGAATGCATCAACCTTTCCCGTATATGTTCTCAGAGGCGACCAAGGGAACTTAATAGTTGAGAGATGGCATTCCTCTTGAGAAAACACCAAAAAGCCAAACTGCAGTTGTCAACCTGCCCACCGAGCGTGACAACTACTGGCAGAATCTCCCCAATGATATACTACTATAAGGAATGGGTCCGTTCTTTATGAGAGTCCTATGGGAGGCCTATGTTTACCAGTGGACAAATAACGTCTAACATGATAATATTGATGATGATGGAAGGTTACAGAATTTTTGGTAATAATAATAGTAGTCAATCTTCGAGTGTTGACAGTCACACACATACTAATGGTAGCGGAATTAAACGATATAATTGTAATCAAATAACTAGTAAATTGCCTGTTTCCTTTGTAGTTATGGGTCGCGTAAATTACAGAGCGATCCGTTCTCGCAAATGGATACGAATAAACCTAAATTTAAGTATTTTTGAATTAATTCTCTTCCCGAAAGTCAAACTTAACATAAGCCTTTTTTTATGTAAATTTTTACATAAGATCCATATCCCATAAGACATTGTCTCATGTATGTTGTGTTAGTATGGAAACTGCGCTAGAAATTAAATATTAAACAATATTCACTTACTGTAAGTATGGAAATCTGTCACTTGGACAGTGTTGCAGTCTTCACCAACGTGGAGGTACGTGATCTCGCAGCGGAACACACCCTCGTCCTCGGCCTTCACGTTGGCGATCACCAGCTCGGCGAACGTCGCGTTCGGCTCGTGGGATATTGATATCCTGTAAGTGAAAAAAATACTTTGGTTAAAATCTAATTAAAAAATATGCTATTTTAAGGTAATAACTATCGGTTTAACTAATGTATATTTTGATCGAGAAAGTCGAAAAAGGTCGAGTCGACTATTTTCGGGACCATCCGGGAGCCTAAGTCATGAACGGCCGTACAATATGCACTTTTGAAAGTCTTAACAATTAAAATGACATGATGATATTTGAGATGGTAAAAAGACTTCAGTCTCTAAGCAATATTGGGTTGCAGCCCTCAAAAGCTGTAACCTTTTAGTTGTAAAATCATGACCCGAAAATGAAGTCACGTAGCAACCCTAAAAACGTCATACTTTAGTCATGTTGGAGTCGTAACATTAACAAGGCGTTGTATGGTCATTTTAGCGTAGCAACTTAAAAAGATAATCTTTAATAATTTGTAGTATGTAGTAACTTTATAAAGTCCAAAAATTATGCAGTTTTTAGAATTACACACTAAGAGTTTTTAGGTACTATTTTTGATTCTTTTTAGAGATATGTTACTGAATTTGAGAAATTCAATCGTTTAAGCAGAGATTTACGTTTGGGCACTGGCTAAACAACAGTGTATCGGTTTTGGATATTTACAAAAGTTCAAATGTTTTGACCACTTTCAGTTCTTCAAAAGTTTTCAAAAATCATAAAAATATACCAAATCTAAAGAGTAACGCTCTAGCAAATCTGGTCAATAATGGTAAATTTCCATCTCTAACATTTGATTTTCCCATTCTCAGTATTCCGAAAAAAAACCCTGAACTTTCTTAAAGATTTCCTTTTATATTTTTAGTGGGTGAGCTCGCAGTTAACGGTATTTCAGTGATGCAGCACTATCGTTTAATTAAGTGACTAATAGATTGATAGCTGTGCGTCTGACGGCCGATTTAATTGGCTTTTGTTTGAGTTCGCCGCCGGGCGAGGTTCGCTTCTATTACAGTTTTTAGTTCAACAAAGTTAGGACGCAATAATGATTACTAGGGGAATTAGGTTTAGGTTTAGTGTTGTTGGAAATCTTTATAACTTGCTAGTTCCACAACTTGGTATTTGCTTTTCTAGAATATAGAGGGAAGAAAAGTATGTAAGTTTGGCACATTTTGATTATTCAACTAATGTATTATGTGTGAAAGTCTGTAAGGATTCATTTACGGATGGATGTTTCTCTTTCAAGCAAACTACTAAGTGATTTTGAACGATTTGAAGGTACACGATGAGGTTACATGTGTGACGCAACTGCGCGAGACAGCTGGTACCTTATAGACAAGGTAATTTTTTTTAACAAATATGATACCTAATTTGGGATTCCGCTTCGTAGGAAACAGCTCTTTTAAAAACTATAAAACTAATGTGAAATCGACACGAGAATTACCTCCATCGACTGCAGAAATATTCTTGTTATAGATATACAAAAAAAAAAATAAGATCTTCTGGCAATTTAACTGCGACAAAGTTAATATGGTATAAGAAATATTAACATTGGTTCAGTATTGGCGGGGAGAATGTTTACTAGATAGATGTTTCCTTCCACGAACACTCATGTTGTGGAATGAGCTCGCTGCCGAGGTTTTCCCAAGAGATACAGCATAGGGTTCTTCAAAAGGGGGGTAAAGAGGTTTCTTCAGGGTCGGCAACGCACGCGTAATATCTTTGGTATTGCAGGTGTTCATAGGCTACGGTAACCACTTACCATCAGGTGGGCCGTCAGCTTGTTTGCCATTCTAAGTTGGATAAAAAAGAAATTCTAAATTCCATGTTTATTTATCACGGTGGGTAGTTTTCGTTCTCATCTACCATCTTTCACTGATTATCCGAGTGTACCGTGGAAAGTGGTAACCGTCACCTGTAGACATGAGCAGTACCATGGACATAACAGAGTATACTGTTTCGCCCATGATACCCCTCGTGCGTTACCATTCCTGAGGACTCAGCTGTTATTCCTCTGTACCCTATAAATTCACTGTCATATCCCACCCTTCAAACCGAAAAACAGCCATGCAAACACAACTGCTTCACGATTGAAACACGAATGGGACAGAGGTGGTCAAGCAAACGACTTTTGTACAAAGTCTCCCTCTGATATTGAGAATATACTCCATTTGATAATAAATTAACATTCCACGAACAGGTAAAAGCTCAATATCTCAGAGAAGGCAAACAGACACACCTGCTCTCATTAGCCGCTAAGTTTTTAAAAGCAGCTATAAATAACTTATTCGTTATGGCTAATGCATAAAAAAAAAGTTTAAAAATATTGCGTCTGGAAGTTCGATATTTAGTGCTGTTGCTAATTGCTTAATAACAAGTACGATGTTGTGGGTGTCATAGAATATACTGCCTCGCCCATTGTACGTATACCTCATAGATTGACACTCTCGAGGGCTAAGATGTTGTGTAACAACATTTTAATTTTTAAGCGTCGTTTAGTAACAATTTTCTTATTTTCTTTAAAAAAAGTATATCATATAGTTTTCGTTCTACACTGCGTTTATTCGTACGGTCGCCACTCAAAAACCTTCCTTCCTAAGAAGCAAGTACTGATCACAAATTGTAAATTTCAAACAATGACGAAATTTAATCAATACTTATTGATGAAAATTTAAAACAAATATCGCCAGTGGTACCTATAGATAAAACAATAATTCTGTGCCAGTGGTGATTTTTTTTTATACAACTTAAAATGGCAAACAAGTTGACGGCCCATCTGATGGAAAGTGGTAACCGTCGCCTATATACATGAGCAGTACCATGGACATAACAGAGTATACTGTTTCGCCCATGATACCCCCCATGCGTTGCCATTCCTGAGGACTCAGGTGTTATTCCTCTGTAACCAGTAAATTCACGCTATATCCCACCCTTCAAACCGAAACACAGCCATGCAAACACGACTGCTTTAAGATTGAAACACGAATGGGACAGAGGTACCCAAGCAATCGACTTTTGTACAAAGTCTCCCACTGGTAGGTGATATGATAGTAAAAGGAATTATGTCCTTTGAAGTTTCCATTTAGGTAAACCGCCCAAACACATTTGATAGACGTAAATATTTCTTTCTTCTACATATACTAATCTCTGACAATTCGCTCTGACAGATCTGGGTTTATGAATTCGAGTCATGTCGCTGTAACAAAGAATACTAAAATTTTAGATTATCAACAGGAAAGTAGGTTAACTTTTTTTTAGTCACGTGTACAAAAATCGAGTTACCAATATGTACAGTTGACACTAAGTGTATGGGAGAACTTAATGTTCAGGGGATTGGCAGCAGCGTTCCTCTCAAAACATCACCAAAGACTAACTGCAGTTGTCAACCCTCCCGCCAAGTGTGGCAACGTCACCAAGGCCTAACCGTGGCTGTCAACTCATCACAGTAGATGTGCTATGCGTGGCAACAACTGATAATCAAGTAAGTTCATCCTGAGATATCATCCTTCACTCTATACCTATTCTCCGTCAGATAGCGCTGGTGGTGTTAAAATCACGAAATAGTAATAATATTGAAGTCAAATAATTACATCTAATTAATAATTTTGTGTTTAAATTAAATCCTTAAAATACTATGTATAACGATCATTATGTGTAAAGTAAATGTAAAGACATTCATAAAAAGTAAAACCAATTTATTTTCTTTTCCAATTTTTGTTTTTGTCTTTTTATTCGTCTATATTTAAAAACCTTAATTTGTGATAATGTCAAGATAATGTTTAAGTTTATATATATATATATATATTAAATAACAATCGTATAGTTACGAAATAAAATTTCACAGGCAACTTTTAAATTTAGAAGTTGTAGTAGGCACTCGAAATACAGCGCTTTTATGAAGCGATTCGAGTTAGCGGGCTTCATTGCGAGACGGGGGAATTTTTGCATGCGAGCTTATTGTTCTAGTTGGTAGGTTAGTTGGCGTTACATTACACCGTAGTTTGTTTATTTTGTAACATTCACAGATCTTATTTTTTATACCACTGAGGTGGCAAACAAGCATACGGCCCACCTGATGGTAAGTGGTTACCGTAGCCTATGAACACCTGCGATACCAGAGGTATTACGCGTGCGTTGCCGACCCTGTAGAAACCTCTTTACCCCCCTTTTGAAGAACTATTAAAACAATTCAAATTAATTTAAATTACAATTTTGTATTTAAAAATAATTCGACACTAATGTTAATGGGCGGCTATAGTCACTTATCATCAAGTAAACTGCCTATACATTTGCCCCCTGTATTATAAAAATACTAGCCTGAACCCGCGACTTTGTCTGTCTGATCAGAATAAATAGTAGCCTAAATCCTTCTCCACCCTGAATAGTACCTATGTACTAAATTTCAAATATATTATTTAAACTGTTGGGGCATAGAAGTTGGGAAAATAAGTAACAAACAAATCTACCTTCACATTTATAATATTTATTTATTTAACTCTTTATTGCACCAGAAACATAAAAATATATAATGATATTTAAACAAAATAATATTAAAAAAAAATATACACATAATGGTACTAACGGCGGTCTTATCGCTAGGGCAATCTCTTACAGACAACCTTTGGTTAAAGGAGAACATATAGAAGTGGGTAGGTGGCGCAAGAGGGAATTAATCATTTTTACGTGCATAAAATATACTTAAATACACTCCACTCTACTCAGGGTTTTCTGGAAAAGAACTCTTACAGAGTTAAGCTCGCCTGTTGTACATCTTCATTTAATATAAATTATAAACAAAGTAATTTTTGTGTACAATAAAGTAAAAATAAATTATTTTTATTATTTCAGCCGTTAACTGTCCACTGCTGGACATAAGCCTTCCCCGTTAGGGGAGTTTTTGTCATGCGTAGCAGGCGGGATAGCAACCGCAGTTAGGCTTCTAGAGATGTTTTTAGAAGGTCACTGCTGTCTATCCCTCGCCCTCCCTTAGTCGCCTCTTACGACACCCACGGGAAAGGTAGGGGTGGCTCATTCTATTCCGGGGCACACACGACAAA